CACCGCCCAAATGCAAATCGCGTGTTATAACCAATAGCTACCTCCGTAATCAACGACCGCGGGAGAAGAACGAGCAGCGCCGTTAGAGCCGCCGTCGCCCTCCGCTGCGCTGACGGGCGCGATGCTGCGGAATCTCATCCCTCCGGCTCGGACGACTGACGAAAAAGAAGAGCAAGGTCTGATGAACTTGAGAGGAGGACGGAGCGTGGGTTTTAGAGAGAGAAAGTGAGGAGATGAGGAGAGTAGGAGTGGCTGCTTGGGGATGTGAAGGATGGAGAAGCGATGGTAGACTTTGTGAATGCGCATATTATAGTGTATGGAATGGAGCAGCAATAATGGCGTTAAATAAAGTGAAAAAAGGCACAGGCGATAATTGTGTAATCCTTTATGCTTTGGGAATCTCTCTTTTAGTGGCGGAGGCTATGATTGGATACGCGCGGCCGCAGCGTAGGAGGAAGGAGGCGTTGCTACTGCTGGGTGGTGTTTCGGACATTGTTGAACTTGTAAAACAGATATTTTTTGTAATTTTTTGTGATTTTTTTTTTCAACGATAGAATTTGTGTGATATTCATTAGTGTCGAATTTTACCAATAATAATAATAATAATAATAATAATAATAATAATGCTGAAATTTTGAAAATATTATCATTTTTGGTATGGGTTAATTTTTTAGCCTATAGCTTATAGCTTATGACTTATAGCTGATAAGCTAGCTTATAGGATAAAAGTATTTGATAAAATTAGCTTATAAACTAGTTGGAATAAAAAAATTCAACTAGTTTATATGAAAAGTTACCTAAGGAAGTTTATCAAATAAGTTCGAGTTTTTTTTAAAAAAGCTCGACCTATCAAACGAGACTTATTTAAATACAAGGAGTTTATAAACTAAACAAATAAACTATAAGATAGCTTATTTATCTACCAAACATAGTCTAACACTTTAGGGGTGCGCTTAACTAAATTTTTCTACCTCTCCAATTGAATCATACACTCATATTTGTATTGTCGGCTCGATGTACTCACGTAGATGTGTGCAAGTGTATATGACTCAACAAGTTAGAAATTGCTCACTTCATTGTCTTGTGCAAAAAAATGTCAAATTAATTAAAGTTGTCGGGCTCTGTATAAGCCCAGCATAAATTGGAATGCTGTTGATAGCCCAACAGTCCAATTGGTTTAACTTACCCAGCCCAACTTTTACTCGAAGGATTCTTCTTCTCCTTTTTATTCAATTTCCCTCATCTCTTTTAGGTTTCAAATTGTATTTTCTTTTTTTCTATAAGATTTTTTTTTTAGCAAAAAGACAATAACAACGAGAATAAGAAGATGAAGGCAGTACACGCATGTAAGATGATTTTTCCGCAAAAGAAGCCAAATCACGAGTAGCATCATCATGATTTATATAACCTCTCCAAGTGTGAGATAAAAACCTCCACGTACTTTAATTATTTTCTCAGTTGTAATGTGGAAAAGAAACACGTGTATGCGAAACTATCTTGATTTTCAATCGTTTAATAATCATGGGAAAATTGAATTTTGGTCATTGCCTTCATGGGATTGATTTTGCACATCTATCATGGCAAAATCCTCTATATGAATTTGTCAATGTGTATTAGAGCTGTAAACGAGCCGAGTCGAGTCGAGGTCGAGCTTAGGGTGTTCAAGCTCGAGCTCGGCTCGTTAAGTAAACGAGTCTGAAATTGAGCTCGAGCTCAACTCGTTAAGGCTTCGAGCTCGAGCCATAACGAGCCAACCTCGAGTTTCAACGAGCCAAACTATAAAAAATTATATAAAAATTCTATTTTCGAGCCTTAACGAGTCTTATCGAGCCGAACCGAACTCGAGCTCGTTAAGTAAACGAGCCTTAAATGAGCTCGAGTTCGACTCGTTAAGGCCTCGAACTCGAACCTTAACGAGCCGAGCCGAACCAGGCTTGTTTAATTTAACAGCGAATCAATAGCTAAAACTTAATAGAAGCAATGTCCATGCAATAGGATTAAATGGCTGCAAGGCTATTCCATGGTCATATATAACACATGTGGTGGTGTATTTTATTATACATTTTTGTGCCACGTAAGAGCCATGCAGGCGGATGGGTGGCTCAATAAAAAAAATAGTCGGATGGCTCTATAAAAATCTCAATTTCTACTTTGAAAAAAAAAAAGTTTATTTTTAACTTGTTTGTCTAATATCAACGCGAAAGTAATTACATGTGGTGTTCTTGTTGACGTTTTTTCTCGTATCAATTTTATCGAATATAAAAACATTTGTTAATGCTAAAATGTTTTTCAATTTTGTTTTTTTAATTGTTAATTACATCTCACCTCAATTTGTGATTTTCTATTGGTAGGAATTAGGATGGTGTTAAAACTAATTTTCATCCCTTTTCAAGAGAGATATTATTTATTATGTAAAAAATATCTCGATATAACACCCACGTGTAATCCTATGATTGGCCAATAAACGATAAGAATTTACAACCACATATCTCACACTCCATACCTAATTATATATCCTCACCAAAACCACCTAAAAAAGCATCATACCCTTTTCCCAATACGTTTATCACTGTATAATTGATCTACAAAACCAGTAAAAAGTTATACAAATCGATTCAGCCATGGCAGCCGTAGCCGGAGTAAGCATCACAAGCCCCAAATTCTTTACCGCCGCGTCAAGCTCCTCAAAATCCGCCCGAATCAAGCTCTCCGCCCTCAACTCGCCGTGGAGAAACAGCAGCGCCGCCCAGTTCCGGCGGATGCGCGCGGCGGCGGCGGCGCCGGAACAGATTGCGGAGAAGGTGGTGGAGAGCATCAAGAGCGCGGAGGAGGCTTGCTCGGAGGACCCGAAGAGCGGCGAGTGCG